TAGCATAGTTTTTGAAAGGGGGGGGGGGGGCAGCCAGAGAAAATTTATTTTTACTTACCTGTAAAAGTTGTCCAATCTCGAAAATCCTATTTCATGAGAAGGAAGGGGGGGGGGGTAGTGGCCAACTTTTTTCAATGCCATCTTTCTTTCACTTCCAATTTTTTGCATACAACACCACATTTCCTCGAGATCACTTTACTGTACAATAGTAAAGGTAATGTTGGGGAAAAAAAGTGGGGGGCCAGGCCCCCCCCCCCACCCCGTTGCTACGTGCCTGCCTACCGTATCCATAAATTATTTGTTACTGCTTATTGCACGATAATAAAAATTATTATGATATTTAAAAAAAAAAAGAAAAGAAAAAGCTTCACGTATGATTCGAACTCTCTCCATAGCACAGGGTATATGCGTATATGCATTATCGATGTCTGTCAGTGTGATTTAAATGAACGTTTTTTTTTTTATTTATATAAAATTTTATTCACATAAGTGAATGAGATTGGGCAGCAGACACAGCCTATTTTAGCTTTCTCCCTACAAGGTCAAGATGAACACACAATATATAGGTATGAAAATAAAAAGACAAACATAGTAACAGAATTTAATGAACGGGTTTGTTGAAGGGTATATTTTTTCATAAATGTTCGATTTTCATATAGAATGGGTTCAGATTACATGTTTTAGACAAATGAAATAGATTTCACATTTATGTTTCTATGAGTGGCCAGACTTAAAGTTGGATAAATATGAGCAAAAGTGGTTCAAACTCAAAGGTCAAGATCAAAAGATCAAATATGGTGTTACCCTGTTCTGTTATAAGGATTACAGATATGAACTATGAAAGTCATAGCTCCAGCCAATCAAACATTGTAGGCAATATCCAAGTTTTTGCGAACAAACAGACATGTAGTCAGACGAATGGGGAAAACAAAATTTTATGCCATTAAATCTTCGATAACAGGGACATTAAAATTGTATTTAGCTCCTCCCGGGAATTGCAATTGACTTTGTTATATTTAAAAGTGTACTATTCTGCGTCACCCCTCCATTTAAAAGATATTGATATTATAGATATATGTCTGCTCTCTCTCTCCTTTTTTTAAAATTCAACTTGATTAGCCAAGAGTATTTAATAAAATGCATCATTATTATATGTATGCATTGAATTGTACATGTTTTCCAAATTGAAAAAAGCAGCACTGGCTAGAACCCCCAGTTTTCATAGTACTTGAATTGACTGGTTAGTGATCCATACGCTTATAGTACCACGCGCTCACCATGTAGCTATGTTACACGCTAGCCAGCATACTACAGAGGGTGATTAAGGATCAGAGGGTACATACACTTAAAATGCCAACAACGATCTTGATTCCTATTATCCAACAAATGAACTTTGAAAATTTCTGCAATCGGAAATCATTTAACGGATTGCACGCGCACTCACGTGTATGAACGTGCAAGATGACCATGGCATGTTGTCTAAACCATAAACATATCTTTATATTCTGATAACCAATAAAAAAATATAAATGTTACCTTTTTTCAAATATATGAGTTTTAGCGCATTGCGCATGCACATGTGCATTCTTGTTCTTACATTCAATTTTGATAGCAGCATAATGTAGGAATCCATTATACCTATTCATATTCTAAATTTCATCCTGTTTTGTTGAGAACGAAGAGAGTTATTGGCATTTAAAGTTTTAGCCAATCGGATTGCAGCACACGTGCATGCGCGTGCTTTCACGGTAATTCTTAAATACCATGCTGTAGATCTTCATAGTGTATGACTATGTTCAAAATTTCAAAGGATTTTGTCAAAAAACAAGAAAGATATAGAGTCTTCAGTTTCAGCCAATCAGAGCGGTCCGCACGTGCATGCGCGTGAGATCTTGCTATTCTGACCATGTCATCTTGTCTATACTTATAATTTATCCTAAAATTATGAGTTTCAAAGCATTTCATCAAAAAATTGAAAAGTTAAGTCTGTATCAAATATATTGGTCATTTCTCGTGTTGCACGTGCGCGCTCTTGCAAGCACGTGCGCGCAAAATGACCTTCGTTCCGCAAATCTATATAACATGCCTACTGACCCTAAAAAGGTTTCACCTAAGTCGGATGTATAGTTTACAAGATCACTCCCGGACAAAAAAGTACCCAGGAAGAAGAAGAAGAAGAAGAAAAATAATAATAACTAGAAACTCTTGTTGCTACAGCAACAAAGAAGGTCTTCCGTTCTCCTCTATTTATCTGCATGAATGAGCTTTTATCTATGTTTAAAAAAGGCATATAATATTTAAAATGATTACAGAAAAACAAACGACCGGAATTGACGGTGGACACATTTTACCCTATATCTTTTGCTCATTCTTCATGGTTTATCATTCATATAAGTTAAGTGGCTTTATCTGTTACAGTTTAGAAGATCAAAAGAAATCACGTGACTGGAAATAAATTTTGAAATTTTAAAGATATTTGAGGTTACTCTAGACATTTCAGTCTGAAAAACATGACTGTCCTGAAATCATTTCAAATACTCTTTTCATAAAAGATATAAATTTATGGGATAGTATGATACTAAAGAATGATTGCACTCAGTGTACAAAAAGTGGCCCCCGGTAAATTGCGCAAATATAAAGTATAAAAAGTACCCTAATGAGATTAATAAAGCAATTCTCTAGGTCTTAATCGCAACTTTGTAAAATTACAGGAATTAAAAGTAAGTAAAAATGGAGAACGAGGCTGTGTTTTGTAAGAGGGGTCACTGCAATTCATGAATTTCCATTGTTATTCAAAGTTATTCCGATCTTTAAAGCTGGAATACATGGTGAGCGCATTCTTGCCCAAATTTCTCAAAAGGACAGAAGGTGTAGAACTGTTGGAAATACAACATATTTAAAGGAGAATTTTGGGCAAGCCTGCACTCGGGGTAAACGTTTTGAAAAAAAGTACAAAACACCGACCGTTTTCTTCGCTTTTTACGGGTATTTACATGTCATTGACCTCATTGTGGCCTTTTTAGTATTCCAATATATGACGTGATTTGTAGACAGGTAACTCTGTGAATACAAAAAAAAAAAAATCAATAAATCACGTGGCCGTAGCTCCGATTGATAACATTGCATCGAAAAGCGACCGACTTATACCGTTACATGTACATTTTCAATTAATCAGCATATGCATCGAATTCTTTTTTTCGGTTTAGTATTTTTTATAGGGTAATGGAATAAAAAAAACACAAACAATAACACATTCAATTCATTAAATTGTTTTAGTAATGAAATATCACCACACGCAGCAACACAACAACAAAAAAATTCTTTGCAAAGTACGGAGAGAGAGAGAGAGAGAGAGAGAGAGAGAGAGATTTAATTAATAAATTCAATCCGGCACTAATCTTTTTGAAAATACACAAATGTACATAAGAAGTTTTTTTCGTTAATGAGATTTTATTCCGTTTTTATTTACAAACTTGTAGGCTTCCTTTATCAGTTTATTTTGTTTGTTAAATTTTCGCCTAGAAACGACTAAAATCAAAAATTGAGGGGGAAATCTGGATTTAGGGAGGGGGTACTTGTACATCCCCGCGTAGGACCCCCCCCCCCCCGGAAGTTGTCGTTTTTGTTTCCAGTGGGACTGACATATTTCAAAACTACAAAAAAGATGCAATATATTACTAAGAAAGATTCCAAAAAGAAAAGTTGAAATTTTTGATTTATTTGATCTCTTAATGTGAGATATTAATCCAAATGGTTTTGCCTACATATCAAAATCTACCATTCCTGTAAGTTTGGTGTCTTAATATATCTTTTACCGTTTACGAGATCTAGCTATGATAGCTTCTCGTTTTGAGGACAGGAAATCACGTTATTGTAGACATAATTATGCAGAATGAATAACATATCCAAAAATCAGTACAAATTACTTTATTTAGAAAAAGTAAAAATACTCAAATTATGTAGTTTTTCTCTTATAACCGGAAGTTGTCGTTTTTGGTTCCGGTGGGACTGATACATTTTGAAACTAAATGTACAAATAAGATGCTATAATATGATGCAAAAAAAGTTTCAAAAAAGAAAAGTTGAAATTTTCGATTTCTTTGATCACTTCCAGTGACGACCAGAGGTGACGGTGGATGATGGTATCCCCAATAGTTTTGCACACTGAGCAGGATCTATACCACTCCTATACGTTTGGTGTCTTAGTCTCTTAGTGTTTAAGAGATGTAGCTATGATAAGTTCTCATTTTGAGGACAGGAAATCACTATTAATACAATGTGTTTAGCATGTTTAGGTCCCTGTTACATAGGCGTAGTCAAAGGGGGGAGTGTGGGCACTAGCCCACCCTTTCAGATGGCGGGGGGAGGGGGGGGGGGGCAAGAGTATGTCTGTGCCCCCCCCCCCCCCACTTAATATGTAGAACAAAATCACAGCTATGTTGAAATAAAATTAAACCTCATTAAACCTCATTTTATGACAAATGTATTTTATTTTCAACAATAACTGAGTAAGCATTTCTCTTAAAGTAATAGTTGTATAATATAGTAATTAAATCTGTCAAGACCTCTTGTGTTCCTTAGTTTGGGATACGGAGTGTGGGTTCTAAATTTAAGTTTAGACGTTTTCTGTTTCACTCAGCATCTAGCTGTCATCTAACAAAATTAAATGAGGATCACAAGCTACCCCGTGTGTTGACATCTGAAAGTTATTAACATGTATTTCGTTCCTTAATCCCATCTCTTGTTTAACACATAGTCACAAAGTACCCCCCCCCCCACGAAAAAGTTTTTTGTGTTTGGAAAATTCCTTTTTATTATTTTTTTTATTCATTTTTTTTTTGCTTGTCAAAGAATTTCTGGAGTTGAGCGCCCCCCCCACTTTTAAATTCGCGACTACTCCTCTGTGTTACATGTAACATCATTCACTAATTTTCACTGAAATACTAAATCATACTTTTTGAGAAGAAATATCTAACCAATTACTATCAATATATATATTTTTTTTATTATATTTAACATTTACGTAATCTCACGTCTCGTGCTATGTATTGTTCCGGGACCGTCAGGAATCGGGCATCCGGAAAACTAGATTTACCCCTTGCCGCAATGTGACGTCATTTCCTTGCTTGGGAGCACTGCTGCTGCAGACACTGAGACAGAGACTTGCAACTTCGGCATTACGTTACACATCAAGACAAAGTTTTTTTTGAAGAATTGAAGAAAGTCTTCAAAGATCCTGAAAGACTCAAGAATTTTATTAATTGCTACTTGCTGCTGGAGCCTGGTCAAAGAGATTTGAGGTAAGTATCCTATACTTTTGGTGTATTGAAAATTTCCATTAGTCAAAGATGGCGGCCAAGGGAGAGTACTTTAGGTCTAGTAAAGGAAAGCTGTCCACAGATTTATCAAATTTGAGAAATAAATTCCTTTATTGATGCTTTACAACTTTAGCTTGGTCAAATAAGGTGCTTCGGGCATAATTGGAAGGTAAACTAGATGAAAAACTGTATTTTAAACTGTCATTTTCAATGCACAATTAAGAAAGCCAGTTATGAATATGGGATTTTTTTTTCATATTCTTCAAAGGAAAATTGTATCCATGCAGATTTGCCCACAATCTCTAAGAAAACGGTGATTTTTTGTATTCATGGCCTCTTCTTTAAAATGATATCAAATTAAAAGTAATATAAGTATCTGCTTTACTTTTCATATGATTTCAAATTGAATGTCATAAAAATACCCTATTTTGAATTTTATACAATTCTGAAATTGATTAAATTGATTATTATAAATCACTTTTCATTCGCGAGAACTTTATTTTCGCGTAATTACGCGAGGCAATGTGCTTGCGAAAATAAAGTTCTCACGAATAATAGTATTCCTTAAGATTATATAGAGCAATGACCACAATTCGTGAAAATTTTGTCTCGCTTACCAAGAATCAATGACCATCTTGCGAAAATAAAGTGTCGTGAAAATTTAGTGATCTACAGTATGTCTTATTAAATGGATCTAGCACCAAAAAATAAGTCTAAAGTCATTTACTAGATCTTGACCTTAATATGAATTTAGTTCTTGATTTATAAGTACATTGCCTTTTGTGCTTGATTACATAAGTGTTTCTTGGCAATCTAATTAAAATTAGATTTTAGCTACACTAGCATTTAACAACATCCCATTGAGTGTCATGTCAGAGGTCAAATTCTAATCTACCAATCAAATTCTTGCCTGCAAATTCATCATATATTGTTGAAGTGAATAAGTCTAGAGGTGTTCCAAATTTGACCTCTGCTGTGACCCTCTATGAGATGTTGTTAGATTATTGTAGCTAATATGTGAGCTGAGGCCTAAATTAAAATATTGTTTGTTTGCCTTTTACTGACCCAGATTTTTAGCAATGGGTAGGTAGGTAGGAAATTTTTTTTTTTCTTTTTGACATCAAATTACTATCAAAATTTTAGAAATTCAATATTGTCGTGTACATATTCCTTGTTATTGGAACTTTTGCTTCATGGAACAAAATGTACTTATTCTAGTACTTATTAAACAAATCTGGAATACTATAAGCTGCATATCTATCTTTGTATGTCAATACAAAAATTTTAATTGATTTTTCTTTTCAAAAAAAGTGGAAAACAGTACTTTGTTTACTTTAAACAATATATGGAAACAGTTGGAAATTTTTTTTTGAATTCCATTCAATGGGTGCTAAGTTGCGACTAATATTAAAAAATTTTTTGCGACTAGGGATAGACAACACACTTTTATATTCACTTGTCCTTTGGGCAAGTGCAACTACAACTTTTAAGACTTGTCCGAACGGAGAACTTCATTGTAAAATTCTTTAAGAAGAAAATGTTTGACTGTATATACTTAATTTGTTGTTTACAAAGCGTTGCAAATTAGATCACGGATGAAAAAGAGTGCCTCTATCAAAATTATGAATTTTATGGTCCCAGGGTCAAGGGTTCTGTGGTTGGGGGGGGGGGGGGGGCCTATTTTGAACTTAACAATTTTTCTATAATTTAGTTTCCTGTAAACACACACAGCAATTCCCTGATAATATTTCCTTAAATTTTTTTTTGAAGATTTTTTTCCCCAGCATTTGAGGCAACAAAACAGCAATACCATGTTGTATTATCATGCTAATAACCACTGGTGTTCGGCATTTATATTGACTGTGTAAGTGAGTAGATAAAAACTATTCTATTACATGTATATCTATTTCAACAGAATGTAAAGTTAGTTCATTTGATAAAATTTTATTTCGGAGAGCGCATTTTTTGTTCTTCTACAAAGGATTCAAAAAATATTTCATTCAACCTAGCATTTTTATAAGGTCACAGTAATAAGTATCTATGAAACGCTAATAAAGACAAAAACAATGTCCTGATTATGGCGAAAATCAACTGTTCAATTAATTGTTTTGTTTATAAACTAATGTAAGATTAAAAAAAAAATGTTTCTATCAGAAATATCCACTTGCCCGATCAGACAAGTACGTCGAAGGTTTCACTTGTGCGAACTGATGATTTACTTGTCCCGCGCAATCGGACAACTGTTAATGTCGATCCCTACTTTCATTACATGCATTTATTCTTGGGATTACATGTTTTAAAGTTGTTATTTAGAAATAAGACTTGTCTGACATGTTTTATTTAAATTACGTTTACACATTGTCTAGACTAAATATAATTTCGTTAGTATATTAAAACTTCGAAATATTGTCTGTTTCCTGTTATAAGTCTGACCCCAAATTTAATCTCGGCGCTTGAAATATCATGACATCCTTCGGTGTTTTCAACATTTAAAACTACTGTTGTGCTCTTTCCACTTGAATTTGGAAATAAAATTAAAGTATAACAATTTTATTTATTTTTTTTCTTCCCGCTATGGGTGTCAAACACATCATTCAGTTGTCAATCATCAATACACGACTGACAAAAGGGAAAATCAAAGCCTTAATATTTTTATGTGAAAAAAATGGACGAGAAACAAAAAAAAAAAAAATTGTAAATGAAAAGTACAATAAAATATTTTAAGTCGGGCTTATTTTCATGGGTCAGTCGGCTAAGGGCAAAGAAACAAAATTTTAAGTTGGGCCTGATCTTACATCTAATTTTAGTTAGATCGGGCCTTTGAGAATGACCCTATCTTGAGAATAAAATACCTAAGGCTGAAAAAGATGGATTTCTCATTCATGTATCAAATAAATTATTTATATAACAAAAATATGTACGATCTGATGCCTCAAATTTAAATTATGGGCAAATCAATATTGGAAAATCAGAGGCATTAAATAGATTGAAATGTACAAGAAAAACCCTTGTGTACAAGTTGACTTCTCAATTTTTGTACACTGAGGAAAACAATCCTTAATCACATAGAAAAACCTATTAAGTAGGAATGACATTATGACAATATTCTTTTGTACGAGTTGACTTCTGATTTGTGTATGAGTGTACGACTTGGTTTGTGTACGAGTTGACTGGACACCTATACCTGCACTCCACCAATTTAAAAAAGAAGGATGCTAAGAAAAAAAGAAGAGAAAAATGTGTTTCAAAGATTTGCATTTGTCAATTTTAATTAGCCCTTCTGAGCCAAAGGCTCAAAGAGCTAATGCTATGGCCATTTGTGCGGTGTGCGTAAACTTTTTAGAATATGGGCCATAACTAAATATAATTTCGTTAGAAAAACTCCCTTGGCCAATCCTGTTAGTGACCAAATTTGTCACAGGGTATCCTTAGCCCAAGGGCTCTCATTTATACTAAAATAAGGGTTGGAACCCTTAAACAAGGGGAGATAATCAGGAAAACAAAACCAAAAGTATTGGTTGCAAAAAAATCTCCATAACCACCAGGCAGATTTTCACTAAACTTACATACAAGGATCAGGATTTTATGTCGAAGATTAAAATTTTGGGTCTTTGAGAATGACCCTGATCTTGAGAATAAAATACCTAAGGCTGAAAAAGATGGATTTCTCATTCATGTCACTTTATTTATATAACAAAGTTGACCTAAATTTACAATTAATAAAAACGTATATATTTTGCCTACTATAAATTTTTGTACACTAGGATCATCAAATCACATGAAAAACCTAAGTTGATGACATATTCTTTTGTACGAGTTCACATCATTTGTAAACTAAAGTAGGTCACCGTGACCTACTTTGTGTAAATTTTGCGGACATTTGTTTTCAAATTAATTTGAAGGAATATTTTGGACACTTTAAGGAAAATGTGTTTCAAACTTTGTCAGTTGATTTCATTAGCTTCTGAGCCAAAGGCCTCAAACAATGTCCATTTGTGCTTGTGGTCACTGTGACCCATTTTTGAACTTTAATGACATCCTTTTAAAAACATTAAATCTCCATTATTTAAAATAAGACACACAAGGGAGATTTCAGGAAAATCAAATCTTGTACTTTGATGCATCTCCATAACCACCAGGCAGATTTTCATTTAAACATATTTATGAAAAAAAATTTTGAATTTTGCAAAGACATTCACTTTTCAAATTGTTTAAAATGCATATTTTGATTACCTTCAGACCTACTATCATCAAACTTGGTCAGTAGATGCATCTTGGGTCTTTGAAAATTGTAGACCAAAATGTTGGTCACGATGACCTACTTTCAACATTTTATGGATATATTTAAGTATCCTAGGTAATTATTGGCTTAGAATGATCAAACTTTGTGAGTGGTTGCATATTTGGTTTTCGGATCAACTTCAGTGATGCATCTTGAACTTTTGTGAAAAAAGTAGGTCACGACCTTAGTTTTCAACATTTTATGGCTTATTTAAGTATCTCCAGTACTTATTGGCTTAGAATCATCAAACTTTGTGAGTTGATGCATCTTAGATTTTTGGAGAGTGACGACCAAAAAGTAGGTCACGATGACCTTCTTTTGACATTTTATGGCTTTATTTAAGTATCCTAGGTATTTATTGGCTTTGAATCATCAAACTTTGTGAGTTGATGCATCTTAGGTTTTTGGAGAGTGACAACAAAAAAGTAGGTCATGGTGACCTACTTTTGACATTTTATGGCTTTATTTAAGTATCTCCGGTACTTATTGGCTTAGAATCATCAAACTTTTTGAGTTGATACATCTTAGGTTTTCGGAGAATGTCGACCAAAAAGTCATGGTGACCTACTTTTGAATATCTCAGGTACTTTTTAGCTTAGAATCATCAAACTTTGTCAGTTGAGGCATCTTACGGTTTCATTGAATGTCCAACAAGAAGTAGGTCACAGTGACCTACTTTTGATCTCGGGTATTATTGGCT